AAAAGTGCTAGTGTGTGAATGGATAGTGTGGTAACCGGAATTACGGGGGCACTTTGGGGTGCATCATTTTGCATGCATTAGTGCATGATTAACTATTAAATGTGATAAACATAATGATATTTGTAATTACAGATGTGTTAGTTGGAACAAGTGAGACAGTTGGTATTGGAACAGATACAGTGATATCTAAAAGGATCCTCCAATAGAACCAAAGGGCCATAGATTTGTACATCTAAGGTGGGTGTATATCTTTATATGTTTTGGAAATGCTATTATAAGATGATATGAAATGATATAATTTAATATCAATTCTCCAGGATTATGTGCTACGTGCTTATGTAATTGAATGATGCTTTGTACTGTATATTGTGGAATGTGGTACACTGTTTGAGATAGGGGCATCGATGCTGATCAGTGGGTATGCAGTAGTGTGCCAGCACTGTGGTGTCCCTAGGAGGTTTGAGAAACACAAATCCATGTGGAATCGATTACCCGATAAGGGGTAGTATAGATGTGATGTGGTTTGTGAATTCTTTTGGAATTGGATTAATGTTGTTGTCTGATACGTGTATCTATATAATACCTACCTAATTCAGTGTATTACTATCATTTTTATTTCATATACAACATATATTCTCACTGAGCGCATGATTTAGCTCACACCCCTATAACTTCTCTTTTCAGCTATAGAGGAAGATGTAGACCTGTCCACTGACCAGTCGATTGAGTCTTGTACAACGTTAGTGTGATATCACTCAGGTTGAGTGTTGGTATGACCAATTGTTGGGTTGTATATTATATTTGTGAGGGATTATAATGGCAGGTTATTAGTATATATTTGTAAACGGACTCAACAAGCATACTTTATGATGTATGTTATGTGGGTGTGGAATTTTGTATATGTCTATAACCTGGGAAAAAATAATTGGTACATTTGTTTTATATATTGTATAGGTTATGAGACATGTTTTACCATTATGCTTAATGACTAAGGTGATGGGTGGGGTTGTTGCACATGTGGGATTATTTAATGTTTGTTTAGTCCAATTTGTACATATATGTGAACAAGTGTATCAAAAACCTAGTCGCATCCCATCCTTGGGAGACCAGGATGGGGTATTACATTCTCACTTAGATCGTCATATCATTGTGACAAAAGGTAATTGTGCTTTATATGGGTTAAAATTGATGTTTGTCTAAGCAAAATTTTTAATAAACCTATTCACCCCCTCTACGTCTAGCATGTGATTCATCATGTATAATCCATTGGAAAGATTGTTGAGTGCTCATTCTTGCATTATTTTATAGCTAGTATATTCATTTTAGACTTAGTAGTAGACTAACTTGTTTTGCGATTAATGCATTGATTTTGTGTTTGCAGGTAGTCTAGGTGTAAAGGTAGATGTGGAGCATTCTAATAATGGATTTGGACAAGTTAGAGTTAAAGTAGATCCAATAGAAGTGAAGTCGGATACCTTAGAGAAGAAATTATGAGTAAGATGGGTTCTATCGGTAGGAGTGTGCTAAAGTAATGAATCTACCAGTAGGAAAGAAGATAGAGTGTGAGGTATTGGTAGTTGAGTTATGTTCTACCGGTAGCAGAGCTCTCTAGAATGTGTTCTATCGATAGGTAACCTAGTGTGTTATCGGTAGAAGAAGTTACGAGGATTTGAAGATCAAGGTTCTACCGGTAGTTGATTAATGTTCAATTGGTATATCGTGTAACTGAATGAGGTTCTACCGGTATATATCAATGTTCTACTGGTAGATCAACAACAAATTTGACTGGAAACTCAAATTTGAGTATGATTTTGCCATATTTTTTTGGGGATTATCTATCAACATGAAGAGAAGATGTTGTAGGAGAAGATATGTACAAAGATATTGAGGATATTCCTTCCATACACCATCAATAGGAGGCTTTGGTTGAGGAATGGGGTATTTTCTCTTCTACTCTTCAACTTTTCTTATATCTTTTTCTCATCAATTATTCTTTAGTTATTCCTTTTTTTCAGTTTCAAGAATTATTATTTTCAATTCCAAGCCAATTTCATTCGGTGTAATCAATTTTAATACAATTCTTTCAATACAAGATATTTTGCATTCAAGTTCTTATTTACTTTTCAGTCAATCTTCATTCTTTGAATTCAATTATATCTTTATCAATGCTTTGTTTAATTTCTTCGTCATGAGTGAGTAGTTTTTTCTTCGGATAATCAAAAGAGGAAATCACAACCCATGAACTAGGGTTTACATTATAAACTAGTTTGTCACGATGTATGCGATTTAATGATTTAATAATTGCTTTCAAAATCAAATTGATTGGCCATGTCTTTTATTATTTATAGACAATTAGTTTTGGTATGAATAATACTTGGAGTCCCTACAATCAATTGGACTCGCATTTTTCCAACCAATCTATTTGTCATCAAAATCACTAATTTTACTAATTAATGCTTTTGGTTCAATATCATCCAACTAGGGGAGTTTGATTTACGAACTTGGATGAGTTATAGATTTAGAGTGTGGATTTATGTTCATGGGTGGGATGGAATCTGAGGATTATTTGATTCTTTCCCTTAATTGAATTTTCTCTCTATTTATTTAGTCAGAGTTTGGAATGAGAATGATGACGAGCTTTCTAGGGTTTTCTATTTATTGTGAGAGATGTAGGTGACTTTCTTTACATGTAAAAGGAATGTGTTTTTGTTGGAGTTTTGGGTGGTGGTTGTTGGCGCGATGGTGGTTATTTATTATGTTTAGTTTTCGATTTGAGTTCACTATTTTTGAGTCCACTGAGTTCACAGTGAATTAGGAATTTTAATCTATTAAAATTCATTGTTTTTGAAAATTTTGCAAACTAGGAATTGTATTATATTAAAGTTCACTATTTTTGTAGTTTATTGATTATGTTTTTTTTAATATTTTTGAGTTTTCAATTTGTGATATATGTTTTAATTCAAATTTTTAATATTTTTGTAGTTCACTGGCTATTTTGAATAGTGAATAAGGAGTTTCATTTCTATTAGAATTAACTGTTTGTGAAAATTTTATGAACTAAGAGTTTTATCCTATTAAAGTTCACTGTTTATGTTTTTTTTTATTATTTTTGAGTTCACTAGATATTCACTGTTTTGGGTGGTGGTGACAACAATGGTGGTTGTTCACTATGTTTAGTCCATTATTTTATATATTTTTTTGAGTTTACTATTTTTGATATATATTTTTCAATGTAAATTTTTAATATTTTTGTAGTTCTTCATCTTGAATTCACTATCTTTTAGTTCACTGTCTTAAGTGTGTGTGGCGGTGGTCAATAGTGATAGACAGTGATGGGTGGTGGTGGGCTACGGTGGTCGATGCTGGTGGTGATGGTGGGTGTAGGGTGGCAGTGGTAGGTGGCAGGTAGTAGGGGTGGTGATAGTAGTAGGGGTAGTGGTGGTGTTGGGTGTGAATGGTGGTGATGGGCGGCGACGGTGATGGTGGGTGGTGGTGTTGGGGTTTGGATAATAATGGTTGATGACGATAATGGTAGTGATTGACAAGTAATAATGACAGCGGGTATTGGTCAGTGATGGTGGTGGTGAGTGGTGACGATGATGTGTGGTTATGACGGCGATGGGTTGTGATGTTGGTTGGTGGTGGTGTCAGTGGGGTGGTGATGGTGGTGACGATGGTGGGTGATGGTGGTGGTGAATTTTGGGTGATGATGATTGGTGGCGATGGGTGGCGGGTAATGGTGGTTATGGTAGATGGTGATGGTGGGTGAGGGGGGCGTTGGGTGGTGGTGGGCTCTGGGTGGAGATGATGGTGGGTTTTGGTGGTGGTTTGAAGTGATAGTGGATGGTGGGCAGTGGTGGGTGATTGTTGTTGGCTATGATGGTGGGTAGTGGTGGGTGGTGGTGGCAACGATGGAGCGATGGTGGTGTTGGCGGCGAATGGTGGTGGGTGGTAGTCTGTGGAAGAGGTGGTGGTATGTGGCAGTGATGGTGGTGGTGGTGGTGATGATGATGATAATAGTAGTGTTAACAAACATAAGAATGAGATAAATGTAGATGTTTTTAAATAGAGTAATGTTATTGAGACCTAACTTACTGACATAATTTGTTGACTTAATTTACTGTGACATTTAAATTCACTGTAGACCTCATCAAACATTAGAACTTGATGTTGATCAAATGATTCTTATGAAACACATCATTATGTCAATAAATTAAGTCAAATTTTTAGATCCAAATAATATTATTCTTTTAAATAACCTTCTTCATTAAGTATTTTTTTGTTAATTGAGAAATATACTAATATAATTCCAATATAGTTAAATTCGTATTGTATCGCATAAAAATCAAATCAAAGTCTAATTAATTGTCAGACATAAAGATCACTACGTAAGTCTTGACCTTGTCACCTTAATATTGAGAAAATATTATGTGTAAGGGTGACACCAACTTATTATCGTCATGTGATATTATCATTTAACAAAAGCATAATAAGTAAGTGTATTCCACAGTTTAAAGAGTACGACCCTAATGTCTAAAAATAACTACCAAATGGGTTTACCTTACGGACTTGCAAGTTTATTATTAAATTAGGGATAGCATAGGTTTGAAAATACGGTATAATGTAAATGATTTTGAGAGAAATATTGATAATCGTTAAATAAATCAATTTAAAATCGTCGATAAATTTATTAATGTATGCTCTATTTTATATTATAAATGCCATTATACTCAATATTTACTTCTCAATTACCCCCTTTCGTACCAAAAAATTCCCCAATCTATTCAACTGAGCACTACTGGAAGTTACCGTCACGCGCCACCGATTGGAGTGCAATTCACATCGTTAAGCAATTCTAATTGCAGATTAACTCCCTGGCACCAACTTTTAAACTCCAACTTTCTCTCTCTCTCTCTCCAGACTGAAACGCACATTCCCTCACCCCGCCTGTCGCCTCCCACCAGCAGCAGCAGCAAGTCTCCTCCTTCAAGCAGCCCAAAATGGTCTTCCCTCCTCCGCCTCCTCCTCCTCCACCACCACCACCACCACTCCTTAAAAAACCCATTACCAGCCCCGACACAGACGACAAAAACAAGTACCCTAACCCCACTGCTGTCACAACCACCGCAAGAATTACCGCCACGCCCACCACCATAACACCCTCCGCTCAAGACACGTTTCTTTCCAGGTCCACCCATCTCGCGCGCCCAGAAGTCCTCAAACGCCGCATACACAACCTCAAACACCTATCTAAGGTCTACAGAGACCACTACTGGTCTCTTATGGAAGACCTTAGAACCCAATACAGAGATTATATGTGGAAGTACGGTTTAAGCCCTTTCAAAGAAGATAATCATGAGGAGAGAGAATGTGCTAACGAAACTGACAACGGCGTCGTCGAAGGCACTGGTGAGTCCAATGCGAGTGGAAACAATCATTTTTGTGCGTTTTATGGGTGCAAATTGAAGGCCATGGCTTTGACTAGCTTTTGTCATCTCCATATTCTCTCGGATTCTAAGCAGCAGCTCTATAAGCCCTGTGACTATGTCATCAAGAGGTTTCTACACTCACATTCTCTTTATTTTCTCTGCTAATTTGCGGTTTCCTTTTTAAAATCGATAAACTCTTCCGAGGTTCCAATTGATTAATACATGGTTGTATACTCGAGGCTATTAGCTCTCATTTCTCTTCACACATTCTTATTTGCTTTGACCTTTAATGGGTTTCTCTGATAATTGAAGACCTCTTTATGGAGTTTCATTATATAATTGGTTGCTATATTAGTGCTCTGCGAATAACTTTTGTCTCTTTATATTCTTAGTTTTTTTTTTTTTGGCTTTCTGTTGAGTGGCTTTCTTTTTTGATTAATAACTTGTTTGGGTTTCTGGCAGATTTAGTAGATGTATGCTGTCTACATATATATTTGCATAGGTGCTTGGGTCTGCATATGTGTGTTTTTTTTATTTTGACATCAAAAGGTTTAATGCCATGTTTTGCCTATTTTTTTAAGCTTTTATAAATGGATATATATCATCATTTTTGTTCATTTTAAAGTTATTTGATTTGTATTTAAATGGGTTTCAATAGATTAATTTGTTCTCATTGTAGCATAGTTATCAAATCGTGTATCGGAAGGCGTATCGTAAGATACAAATATTGTATCGTATCGTGTATCGTATCGTGTATCGTAAGATACGATGCAATTTTAAATAAATAATAAAAAAATATATATACCTTTGAAAAAAAGTCATACACTCATAAAAAATATAGCATTTCATTAATACTCCACCAACTATTCAAGTTATCAACATAATCCACTACTATTATAATGCAAAGTTCACAACCATAGTTCACTAATTCAAACTTTAAACACCAAAGAGACTTCTAATCCAAATTTCTAACATCCATTTTGAACTCAATCTTCAATTTCAATTGAAAATGCATCATCATCATCATCATCATCATTGTGATCGGATGCCAACAAGTCTTCACTTGTCGTTTTTTTTAAAAAAAAATCAGAGCACAAAACGACGTCGTTTTTTTAAAAAAAAAAAAAAAAAAAAAATTGCACGTATCGTGCGTATCGTACCGATACGTATCGTATCGTAAAAACGTATCGTGTATCGGACGATACAACGCAAAAACGATACATAACTACGATCCGTATCGTTTTAGGGCTGTATCGTAACGTATCGTACGATACGTATTGCGTATCGTACGATACTAACAACTTTGCATTGTAGTGTTATTGGTGTGGATATGCATGTGTCATGTTAAATAACGTCTTTTCCCTTTTTCCCCAATAGTTATTTGTGTTGTTGGTTTTGGTTCACATGGAATGCTTTTGACCGGAAAATATTGGCCTCTGATGTGTTGATCACGAAATTCTTACTCTTTCCGGAGTCATGGTCCAATAATGATGCAAATAGGAGCAGCAACAGCACAGTTTTATAGATATTATGGTGCTGAAAATCTCAGAACAACATAAAAATACTGCCTTCCACCATGAAATAACTACTAGAATTTCTATATAAGCAACAAAGGTGAAGTATCTTCCTTAACACTAAGGAAATTACCTGATTCTGGGACTTTTTTGAACTGAAATGAAGCAGAATCTGCGGCCTTGTGCTAGCCTTGCGGGCGTACAGCAGTGACAAAGTGACTTGTAGGCGCTGTGGGCATAGTTGTCAAATCGCGATTCGTATGGTGAATCGGAATTCTAAATTTGGGGATCATGAATCGTATTGAATCGTGAATCGTAAGGTTTGATATAAAATTTGAACAAAAATAAAAAATAAAATTATATATTTAAAATAAATAAAATATTAAATATTGAACATTATTATATTTTAAAAATAATCAATTGACATAAACACGTAGTCTAAATGGAAAAACGCTATCCTTTTGCTTCATTTTTCATCTTTTGTTTAACCATTTTCAAATTCAACAATTTGAAAAAAAAAAATCATTAAAGAACCATGACTATACAAGAACTAAAATTGTGACACTCCAACATTTTGAAACAAAAAATTAGAATCTAACAAACTGCCTATGAAAGAATTGAGAGCAAAAATCAACCGATGCGAGAGCGTTAGCCGTGACTTTTAGCTTTAGACAACGCAAGACGAATTTTAGGCCACGTAAGAGAGAGAATGAGAAAAGAGGTTGAGTTTTATTAGGGTGTGAGTTCCTCTGCAAACAAAATGTCGTCGTTTTATTGTTTAGTTGACAAAACGACATCGTTTTGCCAAAAAATTGAGTTTAAAAAAAAAGTGATCAAATCGTACTATTCATGAGGTACGAATTATATGATTTAGGTGCGATTCAACTCTAAAATGATTCTCATATAAGATACGAATCGTTTTGTACCTATACCGAATCGAATTGTATGAATCAAATCGCGAATCGTACAATTTTAATAATTATGACTTTGGGTTGAATCTTGAAAACCCTAGCTGGTTTTGGAGATGAAGCTCTCTGTAGGAATTCTCCACTGAAAGACTAAAAAAAGTGCTGGACAAGTGACTGACCACTCCTATTTATATCAACCGTAAAGCTTCTAAAGGAAGCCACTGTAACACTTTGCACATAAACCTCCAAAGAACTAGATTTTTTTAAAACACTCCAATCATGTAACCTTTTGTTGCCAACCACCCCAAAAGACCAGAAAAGCCCTCACTTAGGTACAACAAGACCAATCTAGGATTAGGATCAAAATCCAAAATGACAAAAATTTCCTTAACCCAAGCTACTAAGTAGACACATTATTTTTTTATATACACATGCACATGATTTTTATCATTCTCCACCCATTAGAAAGAACTCGCCTTTATGTGAGATGCCATTTTTGCCTCTTAACACATACACAAAAACTTAGATTCACTTATCCATGAATTCTCAAAATCTGGCTTTCTGACCCATTTGACAAGGAATCGAAAATAGGCATCACCTCTAGTCTTGATTTCCAACATTTCTCTCTAGTGGAAGTCTGGTACGATGTTTCATTTGCAACACCTTCTTTTTCAACCTTCAAATCACCTTGAAAACTATAAATATCCGCCCAATTAAAGGTAGGCGATATTTCCAGACCATGAGGGAGCTCAACTTCAAATGGATTTTCACCAAATTTGCACAAAATCTTACAGGGGCCAATCTTTTTGCTCGTAAGCTTATGATAAGTACCAGTTGAAAATCTTTCTTTTCGAAGGAAAATCATGACTCAATTCCCCCGATGTTGTACTCTTTAAACCTCAGTTGATGATCCGCATCCTCTTTGTAGCATTGGTTCATATCCAACCTCTTTCGAACGTCTTATTGAATCTATTTCAAATTTTCTGCATACGCAATAGCATCATCACTAGCTCGTGGCTGAATTGATGCATCCAGAAGGTCAACAACCTGATTTGGATTCCTTCCATACACTATTTGAAAAGGGCTCTTTCCAGTAGACCTATTCATTGTGTTGTATGAAAATTCAGCTTGCGGCAATATCATATCCTGTTGTCTAATATTGTCCCTTGCAAGGCATCGTAACAGATTTCCCAAGCTTCTATTCATTACTTCTGTTTGGGGGATGATATGTACTGCTATAATGCAATTTAGTTGCCATTAATTTCCACAAAGTCTTCCAAAAATAGCTAAAAAACTTTGTATCGCGATCGAATGTAATTATTCTTTGGCACACCATGTAGTCTAACCACTTCCTGAAAGAAAAGACTGGCCACATCAGTTGCATCCAAAGTCTTCTTACCAGCAATAAAATGTGCCATTTTCGATAAACTATCAACAACAACAAAAATTGAATCAAGTTTTCTTGTCGTCTGCTGTAAACCCCACACAAAATCCATTCTAACCTCAACCCATGGAGTTGTGGGAATTGGCAAAGGAGTGTATAAACCAATCTTTTGTTACTGCCCTTTAGAAATTTGACATGTACGACATCTATCAACATGTCGATATACATCCCACCGGATGCTAGGCCAAAAGTACCTTTCTGCCACCAAATACAATTTCTTATCCGTACCAAATACAACGCCTCCATGCAATTCAAAATTCTCTTAAGGAGCCTTCAGGAATGCATAACTTTACACCCTTGAATAAATAACCATCATTAACAACACATTCTGCACATACCTTGTTGTCTTGGGCTGCATGTTTTTCAAGTATTTCTTGGAAATATGGGTCTTCTTTGTAGTGCTCCTTGATCACTTCTAGCCCAACTACGTCAATAGACATAGTCTTGAACAAATAGACTCTTCTAACTTTACACCCTTGAACCAATTTGTTTTGTAAACCAGTTTTGTGTCACACAGAAAACGTGTACTTTTGTAGGAATGCCACCCATTTTTTTATTTCTAATACTTAGCTTCTTTTGCAAGCTGAGATAATGCAAAAGCTTCATGATCTGAATGCAAAATGAACTCCCTGAGGATCAAGTAATGTCTCCAAAACTTCAAGGTCTGCATGATAGCATAAAACTCAAGGTCATAAGTTGAGTAATTTTGTCGATCTCCATTGAGTTTTTCGCTAAAATATGCAACTGGACGCCCTTCTTGACTTCAAACAGTCCCAATTCCAATCTTTGATGCATCACAATCCACTTCAAAGAGTTTATCAAAATTTGGTAGGGCAAGTACCGAAACTTTTTGACCAAAAAAAATGTACCGGAACTTTTGTCATCATCTTCTTTATCACTTGAAAACTCTTTTTAGCTGCAGAATTGCAATTGAACCTTCCACCCTAGATACATTCAGTAATCAGAGCCATTATAGTGCTGAAGTTCTTGATGAATCTTCTGTAAAAGGTAGGCAAACCATGACAACTTTTTACCTATTAAGGTCTTTGGTGTTGGCCAGCTAGTAATGACTTGAACCTTGGTGAAATCAACTTCTATACCCTTTGCTGAGACAATGAAGCCCAAGAACTCTAAATTGTCCACCATAAATATGCACTTTTTAGCATTCACATACAACTGATTTTGTCTCAAAAGTTACAAAACAGCCTTTAGATGTTCAACATGCGTCTCCTTATCTTTACTACACACCAAAATATCATAAAAAAATACACAACAATAAACTTTTCAATGATTGATTTTAGCACCTGATTCATAAATCTCATGAATGTACTAGGTGCATTAGATTACCCAAATGGTATGACCAACAATTCATACAATTCCTCCTTGGTCTTGAATGTCTTTTTTCACTCGTCGCCTTTTCGGATTCTTATTCGGTGATAGCCACTCTTCAAATCAATCTTGGAATAGACTCGCACGCCTGAGAGCATATCCAACATATCATCCAACCTTGGTATTGGAAACCTGAACTCTATGGTTATCTTGTTAATAACCCTATTGTCCACACACATCCTCCATGTTTCATCCTTCTTCGAAGTGAGCGAAGTTGGTATGACGCATGGACTTAAAGATCTTGGATAACCTTCCTCTTGAGTAGTTCTAGAATCTACCTCTTAAGCTCTTCATGTTCTTTTGGACTCGTCTGGTAGTGTGGTAGGTAAGGCAGAGTAGCTCCAGGCACCAAATCAATGTAATGTTGTATATCTCGCAAAGGGGGTAGCCATCACATCTCTATATTCATCTAGCAACTCCCTCACACATTTTGGCACCATATGCGGCTGTTGTTCCTCTTTCCCAACAAGAACATATGCAAGTCCACTCTCTTTGATATGCCCCATGAAGTCATTTGAATTGAGAAGTTTGTTGGCAAAGTTATCATCTCTCATTGGTTTCAACACAATTCTTTCCTTTTTATCACCATTTTTCACAAAGAAAGAATATGTGTTCAAGGTGCCATCATGGAATTTGCCTCGATCATACTGCCAAGGAGTGGGTACCACCATCTCAATATACTGAATCTTTAGAAGACCCAATGGAAAAATCAACAAGGTATCTTGACGAAACAATTACCTCACTCCCTTTGTTGAACCAAAGAATGGGATACAGTTTTGGCTTTGAGCTTTAATTTGTCCACCATCTCTTGAGCAACCAGATTCGCACTACTTCCACCATCAATAATAAAGTTGCAAAGCTTTTCTCCTGTTATACAACGTGATATAAAGATGTTCTTGCGCAACCAATTTGTTCCTCCACATTAGTTGTTTCACAATCTTCTAGCTGCTGGTTTGCATTTTCAGTATTTGCAAAATTTTCCTCAAATCCCACATCGTGATCATCAACAAGGTTAGCACAAGCGTCAGCCCTTTTTGGACTTTCATTAGACTTATGCCCAATTTCAAAACATCAATAGCAGTTGACTGTCATTTGGCCTTGAGTATTCTGCCTTGTTTGGACTGTCTTTCCAGTTCCACTACTAGTGTTCGCTTGTTGGTTAGGACGAATGGGAGCTACTGTTCGTCCACCTCGAGGATGGTTATTTGCCTGACTACTTGATGCACCACTGCTGTCATCATCCCCAAGCCTCTTAGATGAACCATGAGTG